ATTGCTCACCCATCGTATGGTGTTTTTGCTAAGTTGTATGCTGGACATTTTTGTCCAGTAGGATCCCATGGGAAACCATGGGTTCTTCACAGAGAGGGTGGTTGCACGCTGGAACAGGCTCCCCAGGGAAGTGGTTACTGCACCGAGCCTGTCTGAATTTAAGAAGAGATTGGACTGTGCACTTAGTCACATGGTCTGAACTTTTGGGTAGACCTGTGCGGTGTCAAGAGTTGGACTTGATGATCCTTAAGGGTCCCTTCCAGCTCAGGATATTCTATGATTCTATGTCGAAAGCTTTGCTCAAGTCCAAAAAGATCACGTCAGCTGGTTTCCCTTGATCAACCAGATGGCTGATCTTATCATAAAAGGAATTCAGATTTGTTAGGCAGGACCTACCCCTCATGAACCCATGTGGGCTGGGACCAATGACTGCATTGTCCCCCAGTGCGCTTCAATACCTTCAAGGATCATCTTCTCCAGAATTTTACCAGGCGCTGATGTGAGACTAACAGGCCTGTAGTTGCCACGGTCTATTTTCTTGCCCTTCTTGAAAATTGGTACGACATTTGCCAGCTTCCAGTCTACTGGGACCTCTCCAGATTCACAAGATCATTGAAAAATAATTGAGAGAGGTCCCGCGATGGCGTCAGCCAGCTCCTTAAGCACCCTGGGATGAATCCCATCCGGACCCACGGACTTGTATAGATCCAGGTGGAGCAGCAAATCCCGCACACGTTCAGGGTCGGTTGGGAGTTTATCGTGCCCACCGTCGTGGTCCTCCAGCTCAGGGCACCCGGGGTGTATTTACTTTGACTGTGTAGAAGCTATCGCGCATAAATGCCAGGATCCGGATCCTCACTCACTATTCAGGTCAAGGACTGGGCTGGCAAGTTTTGGCTTTAATTTGGTTACCTGCCTACGTTGCTGTTTCCTGGCAGGTCATGGGAAGAAGATTGGCTGGCTTGCGGCAGCTTACATACACGTGGCTTTTAGGCCGCAGTCAAAGCGTTCCTCTAGATCTGGAAGTTTGAAGCTGGTTGGAAAAGCCATCTGAGTGGTTAGAAAGCTGCCTGGCAGAGAAGGACCTGGGAGTACTGGTGGCTAGTCGACTCAGTATGAGCCAGCAGTGTGCTCAGGTGGCCAAGAAGGCCAACAGCATCCTGACTCCTACAAGAAACAGCATGGCCAGCAGGACTAAGGAAGGTGATTGTCCCCCTGTACTTGGCTCAGGTGAGGCCGCAGCCCAAGTACTGTGTTCGGTTCTGGGCCCCTCGCTACAAGAAGGATATTGAGGGGCTCCAGTGAGTCCAGGGAAGGGCAACAAAGCTGGGAGGGATCTGGAGAACAAGTCTTAGGAGGAGCGGCTGAGGGAGCTGGGATTGTTCGGTCTGGAGAAGAGGAGGCTCAGGGGCGACCTTATTGCTCTCTACAGATACCTCAAAGGAGGCTGTAGCGAGGTGGGGGTTGGTCTATTCTCATATGTGCCTGGTGATAGGACGAGGGGGAATGCGCTAAAGTTGCACCAGGGGAGGTTTAGGTTGGGTGTCAGGAAGAACTTCTTTACCGAAACGGTTGTTAGGCATTGGAACGGGCTGCCCAGGGGAGTGGTGGAGTCACTATCCCTGGAGGTCTTTGAAAGATGTTTAGGTGTAGAGCTTAGGGATACGGCTTAGTGGAGGACTTGTTAGTGTTACGCCAGAGGTTGGACTACGTGATCTTGGAGGTCTCTTCCAACCTAGGTGATTCTGTGTTGTGGTCTCCAAGCTGGGATACAACCACCTGTTAGTTCGGCATAACTGAATTTTGCGTTCCTTGCACTAGCTGTTCCTTCGCCTCCTCTTCAGAGACAAGGACATGCATCTCTTTCACGCTCCTTCAGTACTAAACAAACCAGGATAGATAAAGCCCCTTTCTTCACGTCAGTAAGATACCTGCCTTTGGTTTCAGTGAAAATTCAGGCCCTAGCACCTGAAGTTTCTTCTGGATGGTGTTTCTTTTGTATAGGGTAATTTCATTCTGTGTGAAGACTTACAAGGATGTAGTAACAAAAGCAAAGGCATAAAACAGACCAGGAGGCATAGGCTGCTTTTGAGCCTGCAGCAGACTATAGGTATGATATTATCATTTCAGACAAATACAGTCTACGTAACGTGAATGGTTCCAGCATGCTTGCAATCTGCCAAAAGCCAGAAAATGGGACCTTCATTTTATGACCAGATGGAAAAGAAAAACAACAACGACAAAAATTAAGAGAAGGAACTTTTCCTTCACCTAAATTTTTATATTTTGCAACTCCTTCAGGTGTCCCCAAGGAATTATCAACACCCTTCTCTCCCCTCCCAGCCCTCCCCCCAAAAAAATAAATAAATAAATAGAGAGACATTGTGGCAGAGAGGTATAATTTCAGTTCACACCAGAAGACATTCTTCTCACTGAGGTACAGCTAAGCCCCACAAAGCATCAAAACAAAACAAAAAAAAAGAATGCCAACAAGGGATATATCTACAAGTTAGTTTTATGTGCCGGCATTATTTCCTTGTCTGGTCTCGCATTCACGGCAAGATCTATCTGGGGGGGGAACGTGTAATGCCGTGCAAGGTTGTTTGGTGGTATGACTGACAACATGACTTTAAAATTTTGAGCTGTTTGTATAGAAGCAAAGTACAGAAGAGTACACTACCCCAAGGGCAACTAGAAACTACCTGTTGCTTCTCATTTAAAAGTTAAAAGGTGTAAGCAGCTGTTTGAGTAAATACTGACGTATACATGAACATTTTCCTCTCCAATGTACAAGTTTGTGTGCAACATTTTTCATTGTGCTCTCAGATCAGGATTCTGATTCTAACAATGGTTCCTAGTGCAAACTTCCAGAGAAGAGGGAAGCAAACCAGTCCTGACTGCTTTGAATGAGATGGAGAGAGCAAGCAAATGTAAATGAAGAAGATAAATCTGTAGGAATGTTTTCAGATAATTGCCACTGTCCAAAAGCTTTAAAGTGGTTGAATCCCTGAAAGTTCATTACTGAAAACGCTGGCTGCATCACTGAATTTGAAGGAGTAAGATAGACTTGCACCATCGCAGAGCCTCAGTCACAGTTTAATTGGGCACTGCCTCTAACTTCACAAGAATGAAAGAGAAAAGGTCATCTTTCTACCTTGTCAGCTACTGGCAGACCTAGAGAAAGAAAAAACAAGAGTTGTTAACATTAAGATGTAATGTTTGTTGGTTTTTTTTAGGACTTCTCACCAAAGGTGTAATATTGAGTAGTAACCTGACAACAAATGAAAGGGAAGATGAAAGAGTAGAAGGTCCTTGCATGGCCTTAATTTACGTGGCAACTGACAACAACCACAATCCGCAATGATTTCTAAGTGCCTTACACCATTGACCCTTGAGGCACAAAAACGGGATTCCCATATTAGGTAAGGGGAGTACGATCCCCCTCAAAACACGGGAGTCTGGGGTACATGACTGAGTACTGGAAATCTTAAGACTAGGATGGTCACATACCAGAAAGGAAACTCACATTTTAGCACTAAACAACTATCTTTAGAGACAGGCTGGGAACCACAGAATCACAGAATTTCTAGGTTGGAAGAGACCTCAAGATCATCGAGTCCAACCTCTGATTTAACGCTAACAGTCCCCACTAAACCATATCCCTAAGCTCTACATCTAAACGTTCTTTAAAGACTTCCAGGGATGGTGACTCCACCACTTCCCTGAGCAGCCTGTTCCACAGTCTAACAACCCTTTCGGTAAAGAAGTTCTTCCTAACATCCAACCTAAACCTCCCCTGGCACAACTTTAGCCCATTCCCCCTCATCCTGTCACCAGGCACGTGGGAGAACAGGCCAACCCCCACCTCGCTACAACCTCCTTTAAGGTATCTGTAGAGAGCGATAAGGTCGCCCCTGAGCCTCCTCTTCTCCAGGCTGAACAAGC